CACTCCCAATGCAGGGCTCTAATCCATAAAACCCTTAGCCTACAGCAGTGTCACTGGCTTCCAATCAAATTCCGTTATGCTATTTAAAATCCTTCTTTACTCCTTGAAGGCCAACCATTATGTATATTATTTATTATTACCCACTGTAGTTGTCCAACACATCCATATTACCATCTCCCTCAAATTAGCAACACGGACTCCCTCCACCTTTTAAAAAAAAAACAACTCAAAACTTAACTGTTATTAATAATAATAATACTGTAATAATAAGTGGGATTTATATAGCACCTTTCTTTAACTTGTTTATAATCTCTAAACATCTGCTTTGCCACCATGCATTTGATTGATTTTAAGCATTTTACACTGTTTTTTTTATTTTTATATTTTATTTATTCTTGGACTGTGCTTTGATTTTTTTTTTTTCTTGTACAGCCCAGTTGGGTGCTTTTGAAACAAGCTCTTATTAATAAAAATAAAAAGCATTATTACATTTAATATTAAAGATTTGGGCAGGATCAACGAGGGGCTGAAGATTTCTTAGTTCTTGAAGCTCTTGTTTACATATGTCTTACGATACAACTCAGGGCTGGGCAAAAAAGAAATAGTTGTAATCGATTTAGGATCAATCTCATTTAAATTTTGCAATATCAATTCTTAGGACATTACATTGGAGATGAGTTAGAGAATGTCACTGACAATTATAGATGTGCATAAGAGGCGGCTCTATCAAAGTTACGTAACCAGAGCAAGCAACAGGAAAAAAATCTGTTTTAAGAAAATTATTTACTATACTCCTATAATAGGAGTTGACATTGCAGTTTAAGCTCACTTTTAGTTTTGTTACTATTGTTATTATTATATATTTTTACAGAGTAAGAAGCAATTCGTATCTGCATTTTGCAGTGATGGAATGTGGTAGTCGTTATTATTATATATTTTTACCGAGTAAGAAGCAATTCGTTTACGCATTTTGCAGTGATGGAATGTGGTAGTTCACGTACACTTTTACTTGCAGTTCCTTTCTAATTTAAACATTGCGCTTTTGAGACCTGAGACAGCTTTGTTTACAGTTCAAGTTTAACCTGTCCATTTTACCAAGTTTGCACTTAAAACCTGTGGTTTATAGTGAAGAAAAAAAGGTACATTTGTATTTTGGAACACAGAACCCTTTACATTATTTAAGAGCAGACTGAATCGAGTCAATTTTACATTCTAATAAAACTTCAATAGAATGTAAATCATGTATTCAGGGTTTTTCTTTCTTTTTGTTGTATCCATAGTAAAAAACATACAAACAAACAAAAACAAACAAACAAAAAAACATAATGAACCCTGATCCCAAAATTGAGGAGTGCTCAGCCCAGAACACTAATATTTCCTACTATTCTGTCAAATACAAAATGTTGTGAATGCATAAGAATGTTTAGGATAAAATACTGCATATATTATTCGTTAATGTTTCTTTCCGGAATCTGGTCATGACCAACAGTTAACACGTCATATATTATATAATTTCACAAGGTTGAGAATAATGTTGAAATCCATATGACAATATACTGACATTTTATGAATTATTTTACAAAAGCTTCGGTGTTTGCTTTTTTTTTTTTTTTTCATTCAAAAGCAGAGACCACTGTGAAATCTTCCGAAGATGAAAGGGATCACTGGATATGTCATTAATTAATAACATATAATCGCAGCTATTACTAGTGTGATAGAAATGTATTTTGTACATATTATTTTGGTACCATATTGTAAGAGTAGCTGACAACAATGAATAGAAAGAACCGCAGGATCAGATACAATATTTTTGATCCGTTTGTAAATCTGGCCGTTCGCTGGTGTTCGCTCTCCGGAGCGGCGTACGTGAATCAAGCTGTGGGTTTTACTCACCAGCAGCGTGGGCAGTCCGGTGACCAAGGCGTAGAGCAGAACCGGTGGGACGGCGCTGCTGTCCTCGGGTCCCAGGTATGGTTTGGTGTAGGTGTTGTCGTAGCAGAAGAAGCCCTGCACATGCACGCTGAAAGTGTCCGTGTACTCGAAGTAATAGGCCAACATGACGGTCCCGGCCATGATCACTAGCTGGAAATAGAGCATGATGCAGACAGAGAGCAAGAGGCATTGAAATAGAACCGAGGCTTTTCTCTCTGCATTGACCAGCAGCCTCCACCACCTCGCCGGCGCAACCAGCATCGACTCTCGCTGACCTGCTCCTGTATCAACGAGCGCCCCCGTTCCTTTAGCTTCTTCTTACACACTGTGTCAGCATATGTGACTTACGGTATCAGCGTGGGGTAAGAGAGGGATAGAAAGAGAGAGGGAGGGATAGTGAGAGGGGAGAGAAAGAGAGAGAGAGAGAGAGGGGAGGGGAAGGCTTAAAATGCTATAGGCTGGTGACAAACGGCACCTGAAAAGCTGAGATGTTCATGGAAATTAACATGGCAAATGCTAGAAGATAAGCTTTGCAAAGTCAGAATAAAGTGATATGGATTTATAATGCATCTTGCCACATCTGAATTACATGCTGTGGGTGTAAAAGATTTAAACCTATTTAAGAAATGTTTGCTGCTTGGGGGGGGGGAAAAGGCTTTCAAAATGGTCTTTGAAAGGAGGGATGCGCTATAGCTTTCTGTTGTGGTGGTACTGTATGGAATATGCAAATATATTATGGTGCAATTATGTGGAGTTGTACTCTTATCTTTAGAGACATATATGTGGAGACCATGAGGTCAGACAGGAGTCACCATGGACTATGTTGTTTGCAGACGACATTGTGATCTGTAGTGAGGAGTAGACAGCAGCTAGAAGAGAACCTAGAGAGGTGGAGGTTTGCATTAGAGAGAAGAGAACTGAAGGTCAGTCGTAGCAAGTCAGAGTACGTGTGTGTAAACGAAAGGGAGAACGGTAAAATGGTGAGGCTACAAAGGGCAGGAGTTTAGGTACTTAGGATCAACTGTTCAGAGCAGAGGAGACTGTGGAAGAGAGGGGAAGAATAGAGTGCAGGCAAGATGGAACAACTGGAGAAAAGTGTCAGGAGTGATCTGTGATAGAAGAGTGTCAGCTAAGGTGAAGGGAAAGGTTTACAGGACGGTTGTGAGACACTAGCAATAGGCAGAAGACAGGAGGCGGAGCTGGAGTTAAAGATGCTAAGATTCTCTTTAGGAGTTACAAGAATGGACCGGATCAGGAATGAGGTCATTAGAGGGACAACAGGAAGGCCAAAGAGGAGATATATGGATGCAGCGAGGGAGGACATGTAGATAGTTGGAGTCAGAGTAAAAGATGCAGAGAACAGGGTCAATCAGAGTTATGTTTGTAACACTGTCTTTGCCAGAGGTCACCAACTGAATTTTTTCTGGACAGATAATTCGTGGGCTGGACACTCAAAGAAACAATCAAATGAAACAAAAAGCAAGTTTTTATATAAGATTATAATTGGACAATTACTTTGGAATACAGTTGCATGTTGGATTGGTCAGGTGGGCTGGATTTTTAGCCCACAGGCCGCCAGTTGATGATCATTCACACATTCGATAAACACATTTGTTAGTTGTGAAACAAAATCTCTTCCTCCAGCAAAAGTTTATGGAGGTTTCAACTTCCACTCAAACGCTCTGCCCATGGCAACAAACCAGCCAAAACCGTAAGGTAAGTCTAAACCAGGCATTGGCATACTACGGCCCAGGGGCTGGATACAGCTCTATATCTCAAGTCCCTTTTTTACTTTTGGCTTTGTGACAGTTTCTTTCCTCGAGGATGGACTCATAGAGTACATGAAATTCTACCGAACAGTTACTTTAAAGGCTTTTTTAGGTTTGATGTGCGACCTTTTGGCTCCTCCCAACTGTCAAGCTATTTGAACAGTTGTGTCAGTCAGCTTGTCAGTCACAGACTTATTAACTGCCCTGCACTCAGTTAGGCTGGTCTGACGTGTCTTCTCAGGAGATTGAAGCCTCCGCTGGTTGAGATAATAACATGTTTATCAACTGTGTATTTTATCAATGATTAATGGATGGGTAGTGGAATAACTGGCTATATTCTGGATATATTTCTGTTCTGTTCATGTGTAACAATGAATAAATTTTTTTTTAATCAAATTACTTGTAAATGTACACACAAACATACAGTATATGCACCAAGATACTGTAAGTTACTAAAGACTAACAATGAACAATACATTTCAGTTTGTGATATATATTTTTTCAATGTCTCTCCGAGCCTGTAATGCAATATTTGAATTATTGCATTACAGGCTGGGATGGATAAATACTGCAGTGAACTTATTTCTGATATGTGTGTATAGTGGTTTCATTGTGTAGTGCTGATGTATGTACTCTATTGTCATGTTAACACTGCCCTAAAAAGAGGTAAGGAAGGACAAACAAAAACACAAGCTCAGAGGCAGATGGAAATTCAGAGAATATGTGGTCTCAGGTGGTTCACGTTGACAGCTCTGACTAATGACTGTCATTACTGTCACATTGGCACTAATCTGTTTTGTTACTAACTTGGGTTGTATTTACAGACTGCTACTCTATAAACATTGGCATACCGTGTTTTTTTTTCACCTTCAGTTATGTCCTGCGTGAACAAATGCACATCCTAACTTCATCATGTTTTGGTCGCTATGACTTATATGGAAATAATCAATATTATGCAGAAATGTGGAATAACGACCCTTTATGTCCTGGATAAGTCATGTGGCCCTAATGACGCCATTACTAAAGCAACAAACACACAAAGCACAATTTACCCACAGTGACAACAAATTGTACATCAAGAATAACCAATTACAAAAAAAAAGTACAGTGGAACCTCCACTGTTGTTGCATGACTCTCTTTACGAACAATTCAGATCACGGACAAAATTTTTAACCAAAAATTGCCCAGGTTGTCGTACAATAACTCTCTTGCCGAACAAGAAAATAATATCACCCGGCCAGAAAGTGATCACCGAGTGACTAAGCGTGTGGCATCAGTCTTGCCTCAGCCCACACTAATAACTGTTGTCTGATTTTGCTGGTATTTCTTATTCTGTGCTATTTCTTTTTTTTTTTATTCCATAAATCACCATGGGACCTTAAAAAAGCTAGTGAAAGTGGAAAGGCGTAAAGAAAAGCAGTGAGGACCGCAATACAAGTGAAGAAAGATTATACGAAGGCTTTTGAAGTCCTATATCGACAATGTTTCGTTGGTACTTTGCCATGTAAATTATAGTAATTATATAGTATGTAATTATTCCGAATTCACATATGCAGTATTAAGGACCGCACGAGGGTTAACCAATAGGCCACCACTGCCACACTATATTGGTATCGGTTGATATCGGAAATTAAGTGTTTGGACAATATTGGCGTATCAGATATCAGCAAAAATCGAATATTGGGCATCCCTAGAAAAAGCATTTACTGTTTGCACTGTTTTATGATATAGTACATATCATAGAAACCATACATACATAAATTAAGAACACATTTAACAAGAGCTTATAGTTAACTTTTTATGTATAATTTTTCTAAAATATCTATATAATATAATGTTTTTTTATATTGAGCATGGAATGATGATGTGGCCTTGCATTGATATGATGGAGACAGCAGTGGGCCTCAGCTCATTTGAAGATTAGACTCCTGACTATCAGTAAATTGAGCATGCAAACATGTATAAATAAACAGCTTATTTTCAAAAGACATTAGTGGTAGAGAGAAAAAAAAAAACTTCAAAGTACTTATTAGCAGGCCAAGTTTATCAGCTTGTCACCCTTCATAACATATTAATGCTCGGCTCTTTTTCAAAAGCCTCTCTACACAGATTAAACTGTCGTGAGTGTTCCACTCGATCCAACTTTTTGCAGTACCTGCCACATAGCGGCCAAATTGTTGTAGAACACAATATTTATTAATAATAATAAAATATCTGATGCAAAGCATTCAGAGATATTATGGACTTTTGGTTTGAAAAATCGTTGGTTGTTTGACTTTCTGAAATATTACGAGAATAGTCTATTATTCAACCATTTGATTGTTAAAGAATATGATACACAAAGGCAAACGTCATTCAGCATTTCTTAGTCTGGATTTACTGGTTCAGAAGGACATCTAAGAGTTTTCATATAAAGCATCCTTTTATTCATTTATTCCATTGGCAATTTACAGGCTCTTTTGATTATCATGGTAATAGTGGACAAAATGCATCCCTTTGCAGCTCAACGGGACATGTTTTTGTTTCTAAATATGGGAGATTCCATTTTTCAAAGGATGATTAGCAACCCTAATAATGCAGCAATTGTTGTAGTAATTGCAAAGTGGCAAATATTACCCAGTATTTCTGATGATGGATGAATACGTCATTACTCAGCTTCATATGCGGAAGACTGCATTGTTTACATTTGCCAGTTGTACGCCATACATTGGACTGTGCTACATTTGCTTTCTTTCATTCTTGTTGTTTTTTGGTAATTATTCTGCCCTTCATTATGCTTCCCAAGTGTAAGGCAAACTCTTTTTTATGTTTTTATGTCTGAGATTATGTTATCCCTGTGTTACTGAGGTGAATGTCAAAGATATTTATGCATAGCATGTGGATTCCACCTTCAGTGAAAATTGATGTGATTGAACTGTTTCCTTACACTTTCACCATCTTTCAATTTGACAATGTATCACATAGAAATATTATTTACAACATCAACAATTAAAGAAGAGGATAAAATGATGGCTTTTCTTTTTTTTTACTGTCATTGTTTTACAAATGTTATTACCTCAATATGTCAAAGATCTCAGACAGGCCTTCACAGTAAGAGTACTAAAAGTATGAATAAGGCCAAGTTTGCAACGTCTACTTTCTAGTTTGTTGGACAGTTTGACAGATAGTTAACAGTTAGTTGTCTAACTTCACCCATAAATCCTGCAAAACAGCAAAAATGAACTAATTTTATATGACAATCACTCTTAGAGAATTAATTAATTAATAAAGAAGTTGAAATATGAGAATTAAACATATTATGCGATATTTAAGAGAGATGTCAATGGCTGCTTTTTCCGGTTGTGGCTGTATCCAAGAGTCAATGACTGAGAAACATTCTGACTTGACAGATGAGTACAGAAGGTCCAACCTTAGGAAAAGAGTAAAGTGCTAAAAAAAACAAGGCAGTAAAAAGCAACTCCTGAATTTAGATCTTTATAGACTGACATGCAGGGAAGGACAGCAACGTTATACAGGTGACACTTTAATAGGTATGATTTCTAGCTGATATTCCCGATGCCCTGGAGAAGTGATAAAAGAAAGAAGGCCAGGGAGGAAAGCATGGGAAATTACTTTTATTATTTTACTTTTTAAATGAACTGTGTTAAATATGCACACTGGGACCTGTATATGGAGAGTGTAGAGTTCTCTACCCTAAAACTCTGTCTACATCAAAACACGAGGCTGAATCGGATCGGAAATCATGATCTGTAGTCGTACTGTCGTGTAAGCAATTGCTCCATGATCTGTAGTCGTACTGTCGTGTAAACGTCACCTCAGTCAATCTGTTCCTTACTAGTGGCATGGTAAAAGCTGGATGGAGGATATTGCAGGCCGTAGCATAACTACTAAAAATATGCTGCCACTTCACCTTGTGGGTTTCCAACAATTAATGTCACATGTGCTGCCGCTTGGTTGGAACAAAAACCTGCAGCCACAGCGGCCCTTTGTGGACCTAATTGCCCACCCCTGTTCTATGTGATGCAGCATAAACTGTTGTTACTGTTTGCTTTTGACAAAGAACTTACCTCCCATGCCAGCGTGCTGTACAGTTTCTTCATTTCCTGACGACTAAGATGCTTAGAAGGCATGTTGATCCTCAGTTTATGTAAACAAGCACTATAGACAAAAAACACAGACACATACACGCATATTAGAAGAGGGACTATCCATTTCATTTTACAAATAATAAATCATGTCTCCAGTAAATCATTATTTTAGGGAGAAAGAGAGCAGGGATATAAATACAGAGTTTCAGCTAGCAGTAAAATAAAAAATATATCAGGTATAAAAAATGTTCAAATTAAAAAGCCAACACATGCTTAAATACCAAACATGTATAAATATGTATGAAAACAGGAGTAAGGAGAATAAAATATTTATTATAACTTAGGATACTATTGTTCCAGCAACGATATCTCCACTAATGTCATCGCTTTTGTGACACAAACACATTGCGTTTCAGTCAAACTGCAAACTGGTTGTTGGCTTTAATGTAATCGACTAACCTGAAGACACACCTGCGCACAGTGCATTGTCGTGGACAGGTTTGTTGGTTGTTGGCTTTAATCGTAATCGACTAACCTGAAGACACACCTGACTTATGGCTGTGACTCGGTTCCTCTCAATCAAGACACTCTCGGGTGTCTGCTCCCAACCGAACCCTGGCAGCGGTGGAGGAATGCTGAGATGCAGCGGGAAGACGTTTGAGGAACAACTGCTACCACGGACAGCTCCGCTGGTGGTAAAGTGTTTCGTGAATGTGTCCACTGAGGTTTATAGTTCCTCCAATTCTGTCCTGTATTCGTGGGTGCTAGCTTGTTTAGCTACCGGCATTTAGAAACTTCCCTTTGGCTTTCCGCTGTTTACAGTAAGCAACCGGATCCAATGGTGCAGCGTAAGGTGTCGCTCTCCAGGCGCATGCGTAGCTTGTGTTCGAACGCAATTTAGGTAATTCGTAGAAGTTTCTACAAAACATATTTTATTTGTTTAGCTTGTAATTGCTTCCAGACGTCAAAGATATACTGTTGCAAAGTTATAACTGTTTTTTGGTTTGTTCGTTTTTTGGCCCATTCTTGCTATTTCATACATTGCATTTCATTTCATTTCATTTCATTTCATTTGTCTTTCTAAAATAGTAATTTAATCTTCCACAATATCTTTTGTGTCACAGAAAATGTTCATTTTCCCCTTATATATAATACATACTGTATATATAAATTATATGTGGACCCTTTTGTCCATTTCAAAAGAATTGTTTTGCAAAATTACTGCAAGTAAAGTTAATCAATTGAACATCGGCATGAATGTTATTTTTGGATGATTTGGTTTTAACAGTATGGGTGTACCGTTCCTTCTTCAAAGATCAATAAATATAGAACAGCATTTTAATTAGATTTTTTTCTTTAAGAAAACATTTTTTTATAAAATAATCGTTACTATTAATAATAATATTGTTTTGTTACTGTTTGTTGTTGTTGTTACATAATATGGTGCACTAGAACGTATCTGGACTAAATTTGAAGTAGCTTTACTTACGTCTGTATCTGTTTCAGTAACATTAAGGCCATCCTGAGCTGCATGTGGTGTCAACTTACTGGGCCAACAGTCACAGAGCAACAGAAACAACCTGACAAGAGATCAGTGTGTCATACCTGAAGGCTGCATGTGTGAAGCCTTCACTCTAGCAGCTAGTGACTTTGAACATACACTACATATGCTGACCTACGTAGGGTGCAGCCTAAACATTCTTTATATTGAAATGTACATACCAAGTTTGTATGTACCTTTCAAATCTTATCAATGGTTTGTATTACAGACCACTGATAATATGTGTTTGGCTGTAACTATTCAGTGTCAGAACATTTGCTTTGACATAAAAACACATAAAATGAGCGCCATAGTTAAGCAATTGGTTAATAATGGGGTTGTGGGCGAAGTCATAAATTGACTGAAAATATTATGGACTTTAGAATCACGATTAACCTATACTTTAAGCAAAAATGGAACAACTACACAGGAAAAGGAAAATAACATATTGGATATAACAAATACATTTTGGGCATGATTTTAATACATTAAATTTATGCAGGGTGCAATGTTTTGTTTTGTTTTTATTCAGGAAATAGTGAGGTGTTCCCTGAATTCCCATGAAGAAATGAATCCATGATGCTGTTACTACGATTTAGTATTTTTACCTTAGAAACTTTTTGCCTCAGAATGGCTCATTTTGCCCCACAATATAGCATCAAGAGTAAAACCTTCATTTCAATCATTTACAGTTAATTTACACTAAGTGTGCATATGAATTCTATGATAAATAGTGTTTTGATGTGTTTACTCACAGACCGCATACCACAGTTTGAGAACCACTGGTATAGTCCATTTATTCGAACACGGTTTGAAAACTACCGCGCACAGAACTTTAAAAATTGTTATTCAGATCCTTTGTGCGCTTGCGCCGTGAAGTCCCGCTTCCCGCCTCTCCCCTCCTCACCCTCTACGCTCTCTCCTCTCAACCTGGCAGCCAGTGAGAACAAATGCACAGAACTAGACTGTGCTCATTAGCAGCTGCAGCAGAGGGTGGAAAGCGTCTGGATGGTGGGTTGGATGCTTTACAGCTGAAGTCCTCTAAATACAATGGAACTCTTCCCCTGATCAGGGCATAACGCCTGGAGGAGCCCACCGAAGGCAAACCATTCGGTCTTTCTTACCACTCTTTTCCCATTTTCTTGGCGTCTTCCCGGTACTATTTGAATATTCAGAAAAGGCCCGGCCATGTCTGCGGGAGAGATCAAAGACAGTGTCAGCCTGCTACCCTGTTTCTATTTTGTCGAGGTGGGTGCACCCTTCGTATTTAGCTAACATTATTATCATTCGTCTTTGTCAACATCACGATTATAATTACCTTTCAACCGACTAAACTGTAATATTGTGTAGCGAATGCTGCAGTAGGAACTATGTCTATGTCTAAACAGGTCACTGCCTTCTTTAACTCTGCCCTTTATTTTTAACCAACTGATTAACTCACCCTCAGATGCGACTAACATCAACATTAGCGCTGCACGTTGTACGTGTTATATGCGTTCTTTGTTATTTAAATGCTATCACAACGTAGTTGTAGTAACTGTGAAAAGCATATTATACACACACTAATTTGCTGTGCGAAAAGACTTACTAATAAATAACATATTCGTGTCAAAAACATTCGGCATTTATAATGATAAATAAAATATTCGTGTCAAAAACATTCGGCATTTACTCATGTTAAATCAGCGGCTGCAACACGCTAGTTGTGTTGGTTGTCACTAGCTTTTTTATTATGCGCTTTATGCATGCTCTAATTCATCACTAGCCCGCGGCCCCTTTATCCAACAGGCGTAATGCATTATAGATTTGCTTTTTATGTTTTGCGACGTGTGCTCGTCCACGTGATCAGCGTCTTATTACTCAAAATAATTCTTCCTTCAAGAATATGGGCAGTTATTTTATTTATTAAGTTCCTAGTATTTTCAATGCAAGTACGATTTACGGATGATATTGATGATATATTGTTTTTTTTTATGTTACACTGTTAGAGGAATGTATGACTATAATTCAAACCCAAAGATCCACGCTTCCTTTAAAGTATCTGATGTACAGTATATGTATGTTTTATCCTTATTTTTTTCCCACTGCACAGATGCCTCATTCCTTACAATCTACAATTGACCTATTTATCTATTGTCAACTCCATCAGGAATACAACTATATAGCTTGTTAACTTGACACAAGCTTTGGTAGTTAAGAAAAAAAAAAGTGTACTATATTGAGCCCATATTTGGGAAATTATTGTGTTGTCTCTGCTTTCTTTTTCCAAGGCAGGCACGCTAACCGCTACACTAAGGAACTGACGAACAATTGGCTTACCAAAACTACAATTACCTATCAACACACCAGGAGCTTGCAGCATTTAGTGTCACCACTGTTATATATTTGTAGTATTGTACAAAAAAGCTGTTACTTAACAGCTCTCAAGAACTTTAAACAGTGGAAATGGCTAAAAAAAATTCCTACTGAGTGCTAATTTTACTTCTTTTCCATCAGGCTATTTCCTGTCAGACATTGGTTGGAAGACATTTAAATACTAGAAAGGTCAATGTATAGTTCATTTTAGCCTATAAATGTTATCCACCTGTCAGTTTGCTCTATGATGTTTGACATCAAGAGTCGAAATTACAACAGATTTGTTTCTCTGTGTGTATAGTTTATAATGATAGGAGCTGTGTTTGTCGACCGCTACTGGCCATTTAGTAGGTTCCATAGTGTAGCGGTTAGCACGCCTGCCTCGGAAAGAGAGAACAGAGTCCTGGGTTTGATTCCCAGAGGAACCGATTGCTTGGCGCTTGCTAGGGGCAGCCTGTTAACAGTATGTCTCTGCTAACAAAACTATTTCTTTTTATTTTATTTATTAAGGTAAAACAGACTAGAACAGAATAGAAACAAATGAAAACAAAGTAAATAAACAAACTGAAAATTAAAAATGTATAATTAAAAATATTAAACTGAGAACTAGAAGATAACTATATTGGATGTATCGAGAACAGAAAATCCAACAATACATATACAGATATATGTTTATTTCAAATGCAAAATTTACAATGGACAAGTGCATGATTGTGAAGCACTACAACATATAGGGATACAGGAATGTTTAGATAGAGATTCAGGAACACTGTATGTCAGACTGGAGTGGTATTTAATAGTTTAAAAGAAACGAACAGCAAATATTTTATATTCCATATGGTTCCTGTTGTCTTTGATTGACTAGAGTGGGTCCTCATATCCACCACAGACTTAAAACTCCTGTTTGCAGCCAGTGATGGAGCCAGCCATCCTAATCAATTTGTTCACTCTAATAGAGTCACTGGCTTTAATGATGCTTCCCCATCTTACTGTAGCATAGAGGATGGTTCTGGCTGCAACAGACTGGCCTCCTGCGACACACTTAAAAGGTCATACCCCTAAGGAAGTAGGCTTGGCTCATACCCTTTTTGTAGATAGCCTCACTGTTGACTCTCCAGTCCAGTTCTCTGTGGCTGTGACCCACCCCCCGGCCACAGTTTTTTTTTTATTTACCACAACATAGTGGTTGGGTTCGGTAGACTGCCAACCTTCTAAAGTAAAAAGTAATCTTTCTGATCATAAAACAGTTAGGGAGAAATTGATTTCTTTCAGACCATCTGACAAAATTATCAACGGAATACCTGCACTATTCATCCTGTCCATCCCTCATACACTCCTCATCAACCACAGCAACAAAAGTCCACAAAAAATGAATGCAGGTGGCATAACTCTAAGAGTTGGACCTAAAGTCACAAGCGTAAAAGGTAGCGCTGGCTCAATCTGATACTCAGGATTGATATTGGTCTGATGTTTGTCAAAACTTTCAGGATCCAACATAAAAACCCCACGGACTATAGCCCAACCCAATTTGATACCTATGCCCAAATGCTCAACTTTTCTTTGTACAACATGCCATAAATAAGCACACTAACACACTATCGCCTCAGAAACAGTAGCCCGCAGCTTGCTGGAGAAGAAAACTTTCAAAAGCCCTCTAGACCGCTAACTAATCAATGAAAAGATTTTTTCAGTACATACATCGCCCACAAAATAATTTGAGTGGTCTTCAGCCTGATTACCAAAAACCTGCCTACGTCGCTCTATAAAAAATATTTGTGGAAAATAAAAATACATCAAGTGTTAATTTGAAAACAATTCAAAAAAATAAATCAAATATGTTTTTTGACATAAATAGTTGTATCTCTCACCTTGTGTGTTTTTTCATGCAGAATATAACATCACAATGTTTCAGAACTCACAGACTGGAACATGGGGTCTCTCTTTTTCACTAATTCACATTTATAATAAAAACATGTAGGTGGCAATAATGCAAATGAACACATGCTTAATTACTATTTTGATGTCTGTCTGTGGCAACTGCTTGTAAAAAAAAAAATTAAACTGGCACACAATAAAAAGAAAGCCTGCACACAGATGCTGTGTGGGAAAGTATTTCTGTATCAGCAGCTCAGCTCCTGGCAGGAGTATGAGGATATAAAAGGAAACCTGCTTTGTTAGGATTCTCATGAAGCCTTACTTACCCTCCCCCAACACTCCCGATGCTTTACCTAGCCTCAGCTCAGTGGCTGCATAGTACACAAGAGACTGAGTCAGGGAATAAAAGCGGAAGATAAAACCGGCTGATCCCTGTGGACACGTTCAATTCATCTTACTGCAAACATACCCTTTTTAAAGCCTTGAGCTGCATATCATATGTCCTCTGTCTCTTGTCCACCTGGCTTAGCAATCTACCTAGCAATTTACCCTTCCATCCCATTGTATGTATTTTCATCGCAATGTGGAGGATGAACTGGATAAACACATTGCAAAAGCTGCTGTGAAATGTGAAAAGTTTCGTTAATATATATGCCATGATTTCAGACTCAGCATGCACACCATTTACCCAATCAGATGGGCAAGAACAGCACCAACCACCTGCTGCACCACGATAAAGAGCTGCACAAACAATTCAAGGCCAGTCAATCTAGAGTCCTGACCTTTTCATATAGAACAACACTGAAATTACAGAGGCCATAACTCACTATTTGGCTGTCCTTAGCCAAATAGTGAGTCACCACCCGCAGGAAGGTTCAGGGGGGTTGGTACGGTGCAATGTGATTCGGGTGGCAACTGCTGCCCCCGCGACCCGGTAACGGATAAGCGGTTGAAAATGGATGGATTGGTGTTTAATTGCTTACTTATTTAGGGGTTTTTTACTGGTTCTATCTATTTAATGTTAGACAATTAAATTATTTTAGATTTAGGGGTTTTAGGATTTGTACAAACTTTACTGGGAAATGGAATTTGAGTTGGCTGTCTGATTGTTTTCTAACTCTAAGAAGAAGAACTTAATAACACTGAATGTTTAGTCGCGAAAATACCACGAGCCAATTGTACACAGTACATTGACTCAGCGGAAAGGTCAGCAGTAAAATGGTCTACTGCACCTATTTAGTATATCTCAAGAAAACAATCACATAAAAGACTGCTCTTCTGTATAGTTGACCTTTTACACACACAAACACACTACGCAAGAAGATTCCACCAGTTACAGACTAGCACTGGACTAGAATATTATATAGAAATAAATGTAGTTCCACAGTATAGGGGTTAGCACGCTTGCCTTGCGAAAAGAGAGCAGAGAGTCTTGGCTTTGATTCCCAGAGGAAACAAATGCTTGATGTTAATCCCTCTCTTGTAAGTTGCTTTGGATAAAAGTCTAGCAAAATGTAAATGTAAATATTAGGGATGCTGAAACCGAAAACCAAAATTGAGGAAACCAAGGCCGAAAACAACCACCGGAAAAAAATTATTATGCCTATTACGAGTACCATTGCATTTTAGGCTATGACTGTGTACTAAACCTTGATAAAATCAAGGCACTGCAATTTCATAAATGAATATTAATGTTTCGAAGAATAAAGTTATTTAGCACATTCCGACAATGCACAATAAAAAAAATGCACTTTGTGTCAATTGCTGGATCATTTCTCGTGCGCGCTGCTTTATTCTCGCATCCGAGTAATGATTTGTATAACGCAGATTTAGTACAGTCGTGATGAAGTGCGGAGGAGCCGAACGGATGTCAGTGAAATGTGTGCACGACAGACTCCATGAGTGTACTTTTCATTGTTTTCGCTGCGTCGTCTGTCTCAACCTCTTTGCTTAGAAGACGCTTTAGTGCTGTGATTAAAGTCAGTAATGTATTATGTGTCACCAGCCGGAGCAGACCCAGTAGGTGTATGTAGGTAATACATGTGACCGAGGCAAGCATCTTGACATGTATGTATGTAAGTTTGAGTCGTAGACAGTAGTGATGTGCGGATCGATCCTGAAATATCGATACTTCCGATTCTGGATCTTTATGCTCTGAAATCGATTCTGAAATCAAAATATCGATACTTTTGATACTTACGCATTCTGAGATGAGGTGTATCCTAAACAGAAACATGGTGAAAAGTATCCAAATTATTGAGATGTTGTCTAAGTGACGCTCGGTTGGTGGGACTACTTCTTCTTCCGCCTGGGTGTGTGCGTCATGCGTAAGCACAGGGGCTCTACTCCGTGCTCTCACTCAGTCACTATTGATGGGAATTTCGGCTCTTTTTTGGAGAACCGGTTCTTTTGGCTCGGTTCACTGAAAAAATCCGACTCTTTCGGGTCCCAAATGGCTCCTCAGATTATTTATTTTATTTTTTTATTTATTTTTGTTTTACAAATAACATGTTTTCAGAGTTTGAAACATTGTTTTGACATATTTTATATGATTGTGTTCTCAAGGTTTTCTATTGTTGTGTTGACTGTATAGTAAATGAGGCAGCTACCTCAGTACACTCCAGAGTTTAAAATAAATAAATAAATAAAAACCTCAGCCTCGGATTCTTAAAGAAGCTATTTTTTTTTTTTAGTTAAAAGACAAATGATAAAATATCGGTATCGGCGATGCCAGCCCGAATTTTACTCGGTATCGGATCGGAAAGGAAATTGGTGGTATCGAAAATCACTAGTCGACAGATGTGGTGGATATATCTTTATTTTTCAAAATAAAACATCATTCAGAATCAGATAATAATTAAAATGGAAATAATGTAAATAATGCATTCTTTCTGTGCGGCCCGGTATCAATTGACCCATGGATCGGTGCCGGTCTGTTCTAATTATCAGTTCAAATAAGCATGTCCACGTGCGCTATAAGGCTTTTTTTTATGTTACATTGTTAAATCCTTCTGCCTTAGCGGTTTGTTCCACTTGGATCCTTATCCTATTCCCTATCCTCTTGTGTTTGTAAATAGCTGCCAATCCTGGTATCATCAATGGTCAGTCTTTACTTCCTGGAGTGGACAGATGTATTCAAGCCAGTGAAGTTTGGCTTCACCTGCCATGACCGTAGCCTGAACCTACCTTACGTTGACCCAAACCATGAGGTCGTACCTCTGCTGATGCTGTTTAGTCTCGTCTTTGCCGGACCCGCTATCATGGTATGGATTCGTGGTTTCTATTGTTGTAGAGACATATTGCAGTTGATCATTTAGCTCTTACGGTTCACAACATGGTCTTTTTTTTGTCTTATCAATGTAATATCAGTATAATATCGTGCTTGGAAACATCTTCAGTGGAGTGACTGTTCTTTTGTTTGTTTATTATCTTAGGATAAAAAATGAAAATGTAATCCATCATTGGTGTGCTGTTATGTCCTCTGTTAACAGATCATGATTGGAGAAGCTGTTCTTTTCTGCTGTCAGTCTTGCAAGAAGTGTAGTGTGAGGGCAGAGGTCAACATCAACGCCGCAGGATGTAACTTTAACTCCTTCATACGAAGAGCACTTCGCTTTATTGGTAAATGTTTTTTTTGACTAAAAACGTTTTACACTATTATCTTTTAGCATTTTCTATTCTTAGCATTGTACTAGAAGGTAAATTAGGTGAATTGTGAAAATAAGTACAAGCTTTATATGATTAACAATAAATACTTAACCAAGAGCAGTTTGGAAATAGTTAACCCTGTTGTGTTTTACATAATATTAGTCTGTTTTTCATGTACTGTACACCGATTTTTGATCGCAATTAATCACGATTTTTCTGCCAATAATGGCATTTTATCATTCATTTATTTCAGTATACTATACGATGAAACCTGCAATACCATTTGATTTGTAAACACGTTAAAAAAAAACAACAACAACATGCTTTTTGACAGTAGTATTCCGATCCCTGTTCTAATGCCCGAGATCTTTGATTAGCGATCAGAGTCACTCCTTTCGCAATCTTAGCATCTTTTATTGATTCCTTGTTCTTAACGATGGTACAAATCAACGACTTAGCTAAGCCATACCGTAAAGCCGGATCTGACACGAGCGCCTATCTCATGCTTTCATATATTCTTTCTTCAGTTCTATTGCTGTTCTCATTATTTTTCTTTCCCGTGGTGATTTATCTTCCGATTTATGAAGTGTACAGCTTAACAGTTTGCATTGCTGTTCAGCTTTTTCTCCTGCTTTGAAATGTAAGGGGTGATGATAAAATATCACAATGCAATGGTTTCCAACCTTTTTTTGGCTGGTGACTGCATTTTGAGAGACATTTTAGTAGCTGCCACTTATACATGAAAGAAAAAGAATACAGCTGTTTTAGAGTACACGTGGTGACTTCGATTATAATTTTAAATAGGAATAAGAATGTATGGATTTATGTAATTCTTTTAATAATAACTAGACCTTTCAGGTGACCCCCATTTGAATTCCAGATGATTCCACGTAGGGTTGAGAAACACTGCTATAACGATTGAATAAAGATGCTCACATCCACTTTAATTTACAATCGTCTGTCCTTAGGTGTTCATGTGTTCGGTCTCTGTGCCACGGCTCTCATTACGGACATCCTCCAACTGATGACAGGTCTCCCAACACCCTACTTTCTCACTGTATGTAAACCTAACTACACCACACTGAACATCACCTGTGAGCAAAATCCATATGTCCTAGAAGATATCTGCGACGGGGATGACCCAGCAGCAATCAGCCAGGGCAGGTAAACAGAAAACAATTTTGGTAACAGACTTTACCTTTATAGATTGCATGTTGAAAATGTATTAAGTTAAAAAAAATGCACTACAAAACAAAATGCAGTAATAAACTGATGAACTGATTAGATAGACAAAAAACTAAACTAAATGGTGCACTGATGAAAATAATGACCCGAGCAGCACAAAAACAGAAGTAAAGTGACATAAATCTTATGTTCGGACTAAACTTGTAAGTCAATCGTCAGAAAATTCACCATTTTGCGATTACCGTATTTCCCAGAGTATAAGTCACTTTTTTTATCCTTTGGGTGGGTTTGCGACTTATACTCAGGTGCGACTTATATATTAAAAAGTTTTATTTTCACATTCACAGCCGCTAGAGGGCACTCTTGGTTTGTGTACCAGTATCTACTACTCCTGTATCACTGAAAATTTACATGGTCGTTATTTTCACACTGACTTCTCACTTTTACTATGTATGTTGCTGCCTTTCATGCCCAGACAAATGTATGTGAGGTTTAGTTTATTTCTGTTTTTCTGTTTTGCAGGAAATCCTTTCCATCACAGCACGCCACGCTTGCGTCCTTCGCTGCTGTGTACATTTCGGTAAGTAATAGCTTATATCCAATGCTGTGTCACATTGACAAGTAGGTTGACTTCCTTCTGTGTCGGATTCACTCTTGATCAACATATAAAGAAAAATGACTAACATATGTGTTAGGTAGGTAACCGGGCTTTAGCACGCTTGCCTTCATGATGAGTGAGTACACGACAGCTAGGGACAGGGGAAGACGAGGGGGGAGGGGGGGTCTTCAGCAGTGTACGGAATGACCGGCCCTAGTGTAAGTGCAGCCTTAGACAGTCCTTATTCCAATTGAAAAGGCACCTAAATAAAATTGATATTTTTCAAAAGCGGAATTGTGCAATTTTGACAATGATTAACTGCAACATTATGATGTATTCGCAGATGTACTTCAACAGTACTCTAACAGACTCTTCCAAACTACTTAAACCCCTGCTGGTCTTCTTCTTCACCATTTGTGCCCTTATCTGTGGTTTGACAAGAATCATCCAGTACAAGAACCATGCCATCGACGTCTACCTGGGCTTTTTGCTTGGCGGAGGAATTGCTGTCTACCTGGTAGGACGCTCTCGACTAAATAGTTTGAAAGTCTTTCAGTACTTTGATGTTTGAAAAATGAAAGAGAGTCAGTCTGCTTGACTACTTGTTGATCCATTTGCAACTTTCTCAAATCAGTTTGGATATTTGATGTAGAAACAACTACAAATGGCTTGAACCGATACTCAGGATCGGTATCGGTCCGATATTCAAAATTTCATTTGAGGATTGGAAAAATCAGCTCTAGCCTTTCTGATCTGCTACCTAACTCGAAATGCTCAGCTTAACCCTTTCATGCATGACGGTCACTACAGTGGACAGCTATTAAAATGTCATTTTCTATGATAAGAATAGGTTTTGATGGCAGTGTTGCATATAAGCCTCTACAGTGGATTCTCAGGCGTCCACTGTAGAGACCGTCATGCATGAAAGGGTTAACAATGCGGTACATATTTATGTGGCACATATTTTACACAGGGACACTATCCCCTAAGCAACGGCAGCCCATGGCATCCTAAAGGAGAAAAGTTTCGAAATGATACCGATGTCGGCAGATACTCCAAGTTGCAATATCGGTATCAGACATGAGAAAGTTGTATAACGCCATCATTAGTAACAATTAGCCACCAAGTATAGATCTGAATAATAGTGTTGTGGGTTTTTTTTATGTAGTTTGGGTCATCCTTTCTCTGTCATTACGCTGCTGAACACACTGAAGTCCACTAACAATGAAAACTGATTGGTGTACTTTATAAAAAGGCATGAAATTTTGACAAAAATTTAAACCAATACTGTATGAGAGTATCGGCTCGAGCCATCCCTATGCAGAAAATTGGATGCTTTAGTTGTAATTGTACGGGGGTTTTTTTTTCTATATCCAGGGTTTGTATGCAGTCGGAAACTTCCAACCTAGTGAGGAGGTTAGCCACAAACCCCCTCCTATACTACACACCATCCCCTGTTCTTTGCCCCACATAAGCAAAGAGGCTATGTTTCACCTTATGCAAATAAAAGCCAATATGGCTGGGGAGCATGGCATACCCGCCTCCGAGGGTCAGCTTCTCCGTGGATTTCAGAAGCAGAGGACGGACGTCCATAACAACCATTCTGGTGCAGATGTGGACGGGATCACCCTCTTCAGCCCCGCAACTAAGGATGCTACTTTGACCTTCAGCCACACCCTTCCTCGTGTGCACACCTCTCAGGCCATGGCGGCGTATGAGGAAAATGCCAGACGTCACGCCGCCACACTTCATCATCACTCGTCAAAGGATTCCAGCCATTCCAGACAGCTTCTTTCACAATGGAAAAGCAAGAACAACAAATGCCCTATGCAGGTGACCGACTCCTTCTCTTCTTCTGTGGACTCATCATCCGGCCAGCATCTGCACCACCATGGCAGCATGGAGTTCAGATCCAGCTCCGAGCCATCAGCTATAGCTCCTAATGGAGGATTCGAAGGTCATGCTTTTATATCCAACATGGCAACAGGGTGTAGCACTACCCTGCCCAGCAACTGTAGCAGCATAATCGGAGGTGCCCGTATGTCAATGCAGTCCAGACCGGGATCTTCACAGCTGGTTCACATACCAGAGGAATCTCAAGATAACACGCACACTGGCTCTCTGAGGTCCGTGTCCCGTGGAGAAAATGAGGAGGCAAACAGTACTGTTCAGGTGAACTGGAAACGAGCAAGAAATACAACAGCCTGCGGTACTGGCGAAAAGGGATCAAGAGTTATGCAGGTAAAGCAGCAGGGTCTACTGCAGGCCCAGTCCAAGAGCTTGGATGAAAGCAGCTTAGGCTGCAGCAACACTGCCATCTGCAAAAGCTCTCATCCCAACAGAACACTGAACGATCAAGAACCCCCGAGCACTACAGAACCGATGTCGTCAGGCAGCACAACAGGTAGTATTTCAGGAGCGATTGTCAGAGTTAAGGCCCATCCTGAAATGGAACAACTGTCGATCCAACCTACGTCAACGGATTGCGGCGGTTCATGGAGATGGCAGTCTCTCGACAGCAGTACTGAAACCACTGGCGGTGAAGTATCCGGTCAAACAGAAGGAACTGGGAGTTTAAAGCGGTCGTTACAGTTTAATAATCTAAACAGAGACTTGGAAAGCTCCGAGGTAGTTTAAAGCGGTCGTTACAGTTTAACAATCTAAACAGAGACTTGGAAAGCTCCGATTTGATGTGCCAAGGATCAGCTAACACAAAGCGTGCTAATAATGTTGTGTCCCCCACCCCCATTTTTAGCAACCCACCCACAATTACTGTTTATACTGAGAACAGGGGCCAGTCAGATCATGGGTTTCAAACCCAGCACTTATCAACTATAAGAGTCAGTACAGGGGATGGCAGTAGTTCCGGTAATGGTGGTGGTGGTAGCGAAGGGGCCGGGGGAAGCCTGTCGGAAACCCTCTCAATTGGCTCTAGTCATGAGTCGTCGCTGCGCAGAAAAGGAAACATCATCCTAATTCCGGAGAGAGCCAAGAGCCCAGATAACGCCCGCAATATTTTCTACAAAGGAACATCAATGACACCTGTCTTCAAGGATTGATTCGTCGTCGAGATTTTGAAGAAAGACTCGTCCAAAAGCTAAGCAACACACTTTCAAGAGAACCCAACAACTGTGAAACCAGTCGGTATTATCCGTAATTGTACATACGGTGTTCACGCCATGTCGTTCGGCATGACGTTTTGAAGACGTTTACACTAAAGCACATCCTTCTTAGTATTGTTAAGTGTAATAATGGTAATAATCACTGTGTATTGTTGTGATCACTTTTTCAAAATATTGTTATGTTATTACCGTACCAGTAATTTCAGGACAAGAGGACATTTTTTCTCTGTATGTTTTAATAAAAAAAAACAACTGAGTAGCACATAACAACCAAACTGTAAAAAAAAAAAAGAAAATAGAAAAAAACAACTCCAAAATAATTGTATTTAAGCTGTGAAATACCTTGCTGACATACCTTGCTACACCAGAAAATACCACTACCTATACGGGTTGATAATTTAAGTGAACATAGAATTTTACAAAAAGTGAAAAAAAATGTACTAATATAATATGACAGAGAGTTTTGTAACTTATCTATTTTCTGTACAGATACGCATATCCAACACCCTTTTCAGCCGTAAGTGTTCTTAGCATCTGTTATGTAGCTACAAAGTCAAATATGCTGTGACATGCACTAAAATACGTGTTTACTTTTGTATAATACAAACTTTTTTGCATACTATTCTCTTGTACTCAAAAACTGAATATCCAAGTCTCATATCGCCAACACCAAATGTAGCAATATTCTTATTTATAATATTAAGATACGCATTTTCAGAGTGTGTAGAGCAATGCTTGGCTTACACTATGCTTAAATATTATTTTAGTAGATGTCCACAAAACTCTTTGACCACAGTTGTCTCTGTAATTACCACTTACTTTGTAAGTCATTTTACGTTTAAAATGTGGGTCTTCCCATTAGCATTTTGGGCTGTTGGCTGACAGTTTTTAAGTATCGGCAAATCTAGTGACTTTTTGTCCTGATATGTCCGTTTTTTTCAATGTTCAATAACACACGGATGCATTTTGTAAATATAAAGAAAAAAAAGTGATGCATCATGTTTCGTGTTCTTTTAATTACTGCAGCATGTTTTTTGTTTTTTTTTTCGCAAATGCAATTTGAATTTAAAAATGTGCCATTTAAACCAGGAAATATTTTATTTATCCTTGGAGATACACTCCAGGTATTGCGAGTGCCACGTGTATTAACTTTGAGAACCTGATTTTCAGTGTGTCTATGTCTACCCGTATTCGGTCCATTTTCATAGGTATTTCTAAACCAACATACTTTGTTTTTGTTAAGTGTTTGGTTTTGGTTTGTTTGTAAAAAGAAAACCATGAAATGTTTTAGTCTTATGATTTAGACTAAGCTGAGGATGGTTGAGTAGGAATCATGAAAAATGTTTTTATTGTTGGCTGTTGATCATCACTTTTTTACTGTTGCTTTACTCTTCCCATTACGAAAATAGTCCTACTAATCCAGCATGAGACCATCATCCAACTGTTTGGGCAAAGGAATATACGTAGTTTAGTTGTACAAGTCCTGACAACCTGGAGGAAACATTAACACCAAAATATTTCTTAGTCTAAGGGTGCAGAAGTGTCACATGCGGACATCGACATGGCAGGAAGCAGGCAGGACCCAAATGCAGTACTAGTGTAGGTAGTTAATTTGAAGGTTCTAAATTCCAAAAACCAGGACTGAAGCATACACAAAGTCGAGCAGAGCTGAGAACAGAAAGAGAGTTGAGCACAGCAACAGACTTGCTCGGGAACAAACTAGAAAACAGCTACAACAAAAAACTCGACCCAACGCAGACATGACAGAAAAGTATATCATCATCGGCATAAAGATTTATTTTATGCTTAAGTTCCTTTCAGTGTATCCCTTTTTGTTTTTATTTTGCCGAATACCAGCTTGGGGCTAATAAGAATAAAGTAAAGAGTGAAGGCAGTTCTGCCTTCTCACCCTCAACAGGTTGAATTGTTTTATGTTCTAACAGAAGAGCAAAGTGAATTATAGATTTTTTTTTTTTAACCAATAAATATTTACCAAATCAGAATTTGTGAAGTGAGGCAAGAGAAACTTGAAATGAACCCTGCCGAATGCTTTTTTTAAGTGTAAAAAAGACTATTAACCAGTTAAGGTTGTAAGTGTTGTAATTGTATTGTCTATGAAAAACAGTGAGTCCCGTGTGATGCTAGATGAATTTCTGATCTGGGTGTATTATACAAGTAGTGGATCCTTTCAATCCTCCCGGGTAAGGCTTTGCAATTTATTTTTAGATATGCATTCATTTATTCAAGTGATATACAGTAGGTCGTAGCTAGATGGCAACGTGGGGTCCTTTTCTGCTTTAAGTTGAGGCAAACTTTAGCTGAATTGATGTTATGTTGCAAAAATATAGCCGCAGGTTTGCCGGAGATGGAGACAGAAAACGGAAAAGAGATGCAGAAAAACTGCATGATTAAACAGGACTCTTTCGGGCCAAAATTTATAATTGGTTTGTAGTGGCATCAATTTCTGTGGTTAATAATTAATTAAATAAGTTAGTGGCGGCGGTGGTGGCTATCCTGCGAAAAAGCTGGAATGCTAAACTGCCTAACATAAAAGTGTTACATTCACTAAATTCACAATATATTAGAAATTTTCACCTTAGGTAGATATCTCACCATAAAAATATTTACATAATGCACAAATAATTAAAAAAAAACAAAACAGTAAAGGAATAAGCGCACACCCAAAATGTTTGTGTCAGTGTATGCTATCATGGTTTGATATAATGCAAAATAATTCAAAGTACAGGGTGAGTTCCATTCCCATGGCATGATCTAACTTGTTTTTTTTTTTTTTCCGTATGCCGGAACTCACATACTGTTCATTAGTACCTAATCAAGGATGTAAAAAAAATCAGAAGAGTTTGACTTACACTTGGGAGCCATAATAAAGGGCAAAAATTCCCCCCAAAAAACGAAAGAAAGCAAATGTAGCTGAAGCCAATGTATGGCTTACAAACGACCAATATAAACAAAGGCATCGTCTGCGTAGAGGGACACAGGAAGATGTATTCGTCCACTGTGCTTGCCAACTAGTTTTTGTTTATACTAGTTGGCAAGTTTCAATGCTATCTTTATCGGAATGATGGAACAAGACTGTCTTAATAAATTCATGTGAGATTGCGACGTAACCACAAAGTGCCAAAGATCGAGGACCCCCTGTATGCCATTTGCATGTACCAGTGATCTACAATATGTAAAAAATGTATCACGGAAAATGTATATAATGCAGGCAACGTAAGAAAGTTCAAATAATCTGGTATACAATCTAGATCTAAATAAGGCTACTGTAAGTTACCAGTAAAGGTACTAGGTGGTAAACAAACTAGCAAAGTTTGCAAAGTTACGCCAATCACATGTCTATTCTATGTTTATCTATTTTTCTTCTCCCTCAAATGCATTGTCAATCATAGTATGACAAACACTGCTTTAAGATTCATCACTTTGGTGGAGTATGTTTTTTATGGAATAAAAATAAATTACACTTTTTTGAAGTATTCAATGTGTCAACTTACTGATTAACACTCATAACATGGCTGTATTGATTTAAAGGCAACGCACATGTTTGTACACACATTTAAGGGAGCCCAATGATTGTATGTGGTGGACCAGTACGGGCCAAAATACCAGGGCCAATTTCTTTTTTTGTCCATACCTAGTTGGTTTCTATAGAGACAAGACAAGGAGGGTCTTACTTGAAGTCTTACTTCAAATATAGTGATGGCATCAGTCTCCCGATCCCACACTGGCAGGTGGTTTCTAGAGGTGTGGAACCTCTCGAACCTCTCGAACTAGTACAGGCATGGGCAAACTAACGCCTGGGATGCGGCCCATTTAGCTTTTTAATACAGCCCACCCAACCTTTTTACAAATGATATAATTTATTTATATTATTATTCTACTTCTGCCTTTTCCCTGCAATACCCATGTTTCCCCAATAGATAACATAGAAAATTAGCATTTTAGCCTTTGTTCAGGACTTTTACATGTCATTTATCTTAGTTCACAAAAAAACGAAAGAAAGCAAATGTAGCTGAAGCCAATGTATGGCTTACAAACGACCAATATAAACAAAGGCATCGTCTGCGTAGAGGGACACAGGAAGATGTATTCGTCCACTGTGCTTGCCAACTAGTTTTTGTTTATACTAGTTGGCAAGTTTCAATGCTATCTTTATCGGAATGATGGAACAAGACTGTCTTAATAAATTCATGTGAGATTGCGACGTAACCACAAAGTGCCAAAGATCGAGGACCCCCTGTATGCCATTTGCATGTACCAGTGATCTACAATATGTAAAAAATGTATCACGGAAAATGTATATAATGCAGGCAACGTAAGAAAGTTCAAATAATCTGGTATACAATCTAGATCTAAATAAGGCTACTGTAAGTTACCAGTAAAGGTACTAGGTGGTAAACAAACTAGCAAAGTTTGCAAAGTTACGCCAATCACATGTCTATTCTATGTTTCTCCCTCAAATGCATTGTCAATCATAGTATGACAAACACTGCTTTAAGATTCATCACTTTGGTGGAGTATGTTTTTTATGGAATAAAAATAAATTACACTTTTTTGAAGTATTCAATGTGTCAACTTACTGATTAACACTCATAACATGGCTGTATTGATTTAAAGGCAACGCACATGTTTGTACACACATTTAAGGGAGCCCAATGATTGTATGTGGTGGACCAGTACGGGCCAAAATACCAGGGCCAATTTCTTTTTTTGTCCATACCTAGTTGGTTTCTATAGAGACAAGACAAGGAGGGTCTTACTTGAAGTCTTACTTCAAATATAGTGATGGCATCAGTCTCCCGATCCCACACTGGCAGGTGGTTCGAGAGGTGTGGAACCTATTACAGGCATGGGCAAACTAAGGCCCGGGTCTAGAGGTGTGGAACCTCTCGAACCTCTCGAACTAGTACAGGCATGGGCAAACTAACGCCTGGGATGCGGCCCATTTAGCTTTTTAATACAGCCCACCCAACCTTTTTACAAATGATATCATTTATTTATATTATTATTCTACTTCTGCCTTTTCCCTGCAATACCCATGTTTCCCCAATAGATAACATAGAAAATTAGCATTTTAGCCTTTGTTCAGGACTTTTACATGTCATTTATCTTAGTTCACACGAACCCTCCTGTTAAATTTTAGGGACAATTGTGGCCAGTAGCTAAATGCTCAGCTTCCCATTCTGCTTGGGGGAAGGCAGGACCCGAATGCAGCACTAGAGAGACGTTGGTCAGGTGAAAAAATGTTACTCAAAATAACATTCACTTTAGAGTCACTGGAACAGGACCAGGTAGAAACAAACGCAGACAAGAATCGGGACCTAGGACCACAACATTGTGTTCACGACAGAACATCGCAATGACCACGAACAAACCGATTATACAGCAAAAGGGCGGGGAGACAGACAGACAGAGCTGACACTTTCATACCTGCCCCCTATTTTTTCTCAAGCTGTAGGAGAAGGTGCTGAGGCTCATTGCATGAGTGATCCTGGGATCCTTCATTGCATTCTCTTAAGATTACAAAAACACATGTAGTATCACAGAGGTTCACACAAAGTGAATAAATTCTTGCTGTTAAGAAGCAATGCGCAGGGCGCACCCACCGCTCCCAACACCCATTAACTGCAGGATGTCCTGCAATTAATTGATTTTGAATTTTTGAATTTTTTTTTTAATATATATTTTTTTAAATTTTAATCGTTGCACAGCTCTTATGTATAATGACATTACGTGGCCTTTACTGTTTTTGCTTAATCCTACAATTATCAATATAGTGAGAAATGATATTAAGAAATACTGTATATTATACATATATCACTTTACATGCACCGTACATTTGGCATCTGTAAATTTTTTTTAATATATTTTTTAAATTTTTAATCGTTGCACAGCTCTAATGTATAATGACATTACGTGGCCTTTACTGTTTTTGCTTAATCCTTACTAATGCATATATATATTCTTGATATAATCCCTTAAAGATCTGAAAATATCTTCATTTTGTAAATACAATTATCAATATAGTGAGAAATGATTTTAAGAAATACTGTATATTATACATATATCACTTTACATGCACCGTACATTTGGCATCTGTTGAAATATTACGTTAAGAAACCAGAATGTCCTTTGTGACATCATAAAGGACAATGACTTTTATCTAAAAGTTTTCAGTAACTGCCAAATGTTGACCGTGCTGATCAAAGTCATGACGTTTTGAAGGTTCTCAAGAGGCAGGAATAAAACTCTCCCTGCGTCCATGCACAGGTCAGCTAAAATCTGGGAATAGCACAAAGAGGGGGACACAGGATGGGACAGAGGAAAGTAAAACAAGTTTGATGTCAACTGTAGAAAACTGATTGTCTTCTTTTCAATTGTTAAGGAATGCAGAATTTGGAGTGCATGGGGTAGAATGTCACAGGAGCTTGGCAAAAACTAAGGGCCAATTGTTGTTGACAACTGTTTGAAAGATCCTGCAAACAACATTGTCAACTCCTGTCATTTGAAGAACTCAAATGTTCAGTCAGCGGTGGAGAACATGAGATTGGTCCATACCTTTGGTGACATTTTGCAGTGACAACAACACAATCACCAACAAATCCAAGTTTGTGAGCGAAATGAAGTGGTGGAGAACATGAGGTTGGTCCATACCAAATCCAAGTTTGTGAGCGAAATGAA